TTAGCTCCAAGAAAGGTACAATATGTTTGCTGACAGTATATTTACCCTGAGACTTACTTTACGGCAACAAATATACTATTTGAATTGTCTGTAAAGCTGCAGTGAATTAAGTTAGCAAAATTCAAATTGACTTTTGGGGTAACATCAATCAATTATGCTTTGCATAGTGCTTCTAGGCTAGTACCAATGAATACAATACAATGCCATTTATTTTATTTGGCATCCTTCAAAAAGTACATCATAAAAAGCTGCAGGGAGCGTGACTGCAAGGCAGCTCTCGGTTTCTTTTGGCGGCCCCCTTGCAGCCCCACTCTCGCTATAGCTTTTGGCTTTCTCTTCTCTTGACCCTAACCCCAACCCTAGCACCAGACTGAGCCTTCCACAAAGCCTGCAAGTCTTCCCCAGTGCTCAGCACAGCCTTTTTTTTTTTTTTTTTCCCCAAAGAAAACTAGATTTTGGCTCTTTCTGTCTGCAGTTTCCTGTTAGGATGTGCTCAGTCCTGCTTTGGGGATGTTAGGCTCCTGTTGCTGGGGAGCATGTATGTGGCCCAGAAACACTTTTCGAGACCCTGCAGGACGCCTAGACTCAGTGCAGTGATGGTGGTGACCCACTGCAAGGCGTACTCCCCAGTGTCTGTGCCCGGGCATCGTGGCCCTGAGCTAGAGCAGCTCCCAGGAGCGGCGAGCGCTAGGTACCTCTCCAGTAGGCTATGGAGCAGCATCAGTCTCAGGGGCGGCGGTTGAGGTGCCAAGACACTGTGGGGTGAAGGAGTCGAGGCAGGAGACGTGGCAGCCTCCAGGGTGGGTGGGAAGGACCTTTGCAGACCCTTCCCCCCCCCATAGAGCCAAGAGCTCTAAGCCCCATGGCATGGGGAGGGACAGCCAGTGACTATGCTTGAGCAAGCTGAACAAGCGGCTCCCAAGCAGGAGGGAAGCTGGAAATTTGTGATTTCCAGCAACAGAAAGAAAGGTCCTTCCTCACTGGCAGCTGTGTATTTGCAGAATACAAGCAGTGCCCTGACAGCAGGTGAGGAGGCACAAACTCCTCCAGGGGAGAAGTCAGGGCCAGCCTAAACTAGCAGCACCAAGACGCTGAACCCATTCCCGAGCCCAGTTCTCCTTGAGGGTGCACAAAAAGCTACAGCGGGTGCAGCAGGGAGGCAAGGGAAGAAGGCAGGAAGGGTTCATGAAAGCAGGGGAAGAGCTGGGCAATGCTGCCAAAGAGATGCGCATCAATCCCACCCACAGGGCTTCCACAGTCGGCCCTACATAATGGGTGGAAGCACAAGTCTTTCTGCTGTTTTTTAAATCCACCCAAACCTATCAGGTTCTAAAGCACAGCTTAAAATCCAGTGTTATATGTTGATGTCTGAGCTGGTAGCTCTAACAAAAGAAGCAGGGGGAGAGAGAGAGAAAAGAGAGAGAGAGAGAGAGAAGGAGGTGGCTAGTGAAAGTGAGGAAAGGAAAACAAGTGCAAGGGACTGAGCATAGTAAAATGGAAACATAGAAGGACTTTGGGAAAATAATAGGAAAAAAAAAAGTTGCCTCTACATAATTAATGCCCCATTAATTCTAATTTTTAAAGTAAATACGACTCACATTGCTCATGTCTGCTAGCGTTCTGCTTCACATTGTTTCAGCGCACAGGCTGCTTCATATTCCAGTAAAGAAAACTTAAAACATATGAAAATACTTAAATAACTGTACATTTTGGTATGTTATTGCCTTTTTTTTTTCCTGATTGACGATGTGAGAGTGCACACCTCATTGCAAAGTAATGCTTTTAACTTAAACCAAATCAATTGGAAGTGAACATGTTTTATGCATTTATGCTTATAATTTGAAAAAAGCATTTCCTCCAAAAACAGCACTGCCTTTTAACTACCCAGTGAACAAGTCACTGGAGATGCCTGCCTGTCTCAGCCAGTGAGCATTTACTTGTATTGTCTTAAAACTGCTACAAGTTTAGGGCTCACAGAGCTGCTGTAGTCTTAATGAAGCGGTTAATGATGTGTGAATTATAGATCCTGACAGCCTCTTTAATAAAATCAACAGGACTGCATCCACAGTCTACCATAGCAGCGAAATAATGACAATGCTGTCTGCTTAACATAACGCAGTATCTTTAAGTAAAGCACCAGTCTGGCGTCCTTGTACTGAAAAATTCTAGTCAACACAGAGAGGAATGCGAGCAATGAAGAACAAGCTGATACACATGACACTTCATTTCTTTCAGTTTGGGAAAGAAACGCACTAGCCACAGGGAATTCACAAATGAAGCATCATGTAAAGCAATGTGTTATTCATTGTTATTGTAGCAGCTTTTCCGGGAGATCCTTCATTGAAGTAAAGAGCTGCATAATGCATAATGGACCTTAACAGTCAACGGTTTGCCTTTTTTTTTTTTTTTTAAGCACATGAACTTTATCTTCCCAATAGCTTTCAATGACCAATTGTCCTCACAGCACAGCTAGTTGGAATCTGATAGTGCTGGACTGCACTTACTTATATGGAAATTGGTGCTGTAGGTATGTCAAGGGATTTTTCCATACACTTAGCCAATCAAGAGAGAATGATTGTTGTGAGAATCAAAGGTCTTTTTGCTTTGCTTTTGGTGATCAGCCTTTCCCATTCAGGGAAGATTTTACACGTCTTGTATATGTGTTCCCTAAATAATCTTGTTTTATTGCCTGATAGACTGAAACGAAGCACTTAAGGGTCTGGAAAAATCCAAGGCTACTTTTCTGTATGTGTATATGGTTTTTCCCCTAAAGTTCAGGGAACTGTCTTCCTCTCACTTATTTGAGCTAGCAGATACTCTAGCAAGGGAAAGGGAAAAAAACTAAGCCACTTTCACTAGTTCATCCAGTCACGCCATTTGCCGGGCTGGTTCAGGTAATATCTGAGTAACAAAACACCTAAAAGCTAGAAAATAACTGGCAAGTAAAAGAAACACCATCAGGACACAGCAACAAAAGGAGAAGGAATTACTGAACTTGTGAACATATTCAGGATACGATAAACCTGGCCTGCTGCACGGAGGTGGTCAAAGTGACATCTTCTCTAACAGTAAGGGGGCTACTAGCCGTAAAGCCTGTCGCAATCGTCGTGTACAACCAAAGCAGAACGACTTGCTTAGGCACGGCCAAACCACTCAATTAGTTCCAAGAAGTTCAAAGTCAGCTTTCCTGTGTTACCGAAGCAGTGTTTGTATAAGAAACATCGACTACTGCTGTTCTCTTAACTCAAAAAGTAAAAAGGCATGGATGTGCTCTCTGCATTTGAGCCTTTCAACTCCTTTTTCCGTTCTTTCTTTTGGCTCCCACCGCAGTCCTCTGTGAGCACCCAGATGTGCACACATATTCACACAAGCACATGTGTTTATACCTCCTTTCCTATTTGGATCTCACAGCTTCCAGCGTTTCATGTCCCACATCTCTTCCACTAATTTTCGCTTTACCCCTCTCAGTCAATACCGCCTTTACCACAATCCAAATAAGATCCCAACTCCTCAAATCCACTCAGCAACTGCAGGCAAAAATGCAATTGCACTTTTCTACCTTTCACATTCCTTGTGAACTCAGAGACCCTGGATACAACAACCCAGACTGGTCTCTAGACGCGTCATATCCCAGCCCATGGGTCCATTTATCCTCCCTCCCTTTCTTCCTACATTTTTCCCAACAAACAGGGCTGAAGGTACTGTTTGGGACAGATGTTAGAGGGAAGATGATGGAAATAAATGCAGACCAGCTGTAAGACCGTTAGTCTTCTAGCAGGTGTACACTTCTGGCAGAAGCACAGGCCTTTTGGTCATCAAGCTACTGCGCCCCTATTACCATTAGCATCAGTGGTGGCAAATCACAGACAAGCAGTGGTATTGTCGTCTTAGACAGCCTGTGGATGTTCACTTTTTAGTAATGCACCTGACAGCAAGAACTACAACAGAGTAAATCTCCCTCCATTGTAGCAAACCTTCCACTTCGAACATCCTGAGTAGAGCCATAGGCTGCCAATATTCCCATTCACTTCAGTCAGCTCCCCAGAGAATGAAGCACGGCAGCTCCTAAGAAGTATGGGAAAAGCATGGCTCTTGAATCAATAGTCCCCAGCATAGGGAAACCACTAATAAATATGAAAAAAACCTCAGTTTGAGTGTGCAACCAAAGTCAGCATTATCTTTTTTTTTTTGGTGGGAAAGCGAAAAGGTAGAGCTTAAATTTTCTTTAATCAAGATTTTTGCATGAGGTGTTTCCAAATTTCGGTCAGAGAATTATCAATGATTTATAGATATCGCAAGCAATATTGGTTTTCTTTTATTTTTAGACTAGCTACAAGAGAAAAAGAGATCCAATCGTACAATGATCCTCTGCTTCATTACCACACGAAAGAGGTTTAGAAAAGCTTAGGATAAGCAATGGGATTTGTGAGCATGTTTCTGAGTCAAACCTTAGAGCTTTTTGAGGCTTGCTTACAATACCTTGCCGTTTTTGGCAATCAGAAGCGGGAGGACCTTAGAGAGAGGTAGGCCATTAAATGATTCAGCTCTAACCTATAATGGTTACTATTGATATCAACAAAACCTGTGCTTTCTATAAAATAGAAAAATACTGGCTCATCCTGATTTTTCAGGGTGATTTTTCTTCTTTTTTTTTTAATAAAAGTGTCCTTTTTTTCTATGGCAATATACAAGGGAAAATCATTGTGGAAGTAAGTTTTGCACTGCAAATTACATTAACTGATGGAGAGTTGGCAGTGGCACGTATTTGATTACAAAAATATCAATATTTTATGATCATAAGGAGCTAAATGGTGAAAATTTGTAAAAATGCAATAAGCTCCTAAAAAGGGGTAGATATCTTTTATTGTATTAATGTTTTTCAGGGCTGTGGGAGAGCCAAGGA